GTAGTACTGGTATTAATGTGCGATGCATTTTTGTCTCGTTACATCATAAATAATATTTATGAATATACAATAAAAAATAATTTGACAATGATTATTGAAACAACCGTCCAGCTAAAAATACAAATGCTCGCATTGTTATAATTAAATAAAAAAATTGTGAATTTCTAAAAATAAATATTATTTATGATAGATATTTTGAAAAAATCTCGCAATTATAATAACTTATTCTATAAATAATAAAAATCTTCAAAATTTAAAACATTTAAATATATGATAATTAAAATAATTCGCTATTAGTAATACCTATACAATACACATTTTAAATGAATAGATTTTTAAAATCTAAAAAACATCATTTTATAATATATTTTAGTATTAAAAATCAGAAAAATAAGTTATAAATGGTTCACGACAATTGCTTATTAATTATTATATAAGTTATATTATAATATGCATTTAATATTATTTGTTACATTATTTATTAATCTTGATGCATTACTTATAATATTGTGTTTTAAATGCATATAGCAAATTAATTATTATATGAAATATAATGTAGAATGAATGAACATTTTTCACAAAATTATTTTCATAAACTACGAAATTTTATTTTACTAATCGGTTCGTATTATATTAAAATATATTTTATTAATCATTTTATTGTATACGATATAAACAAATATCAGTTCACAACAAAAATATAAAAATCACGCCACGTCCGACTCATAATATTTTAATCACGCCACGTCCGTCCCACTTCTATCAATCCTCGCGAGATTAGCGTATAAAAAGGCGCTCGAGATTTCGATTTCGGCATAACGCATTTTTTGTGCAAATTTATTCTTTGGTGAGTATAATATGATTTATTAATAATAATAGTTTCAGTTCAGTCGTCAGAATAACCATTAATTTTTATTTTTTATTTTTAGTCTTCACTTCGTTCATTCTACGAGAACAAATAAAAATTAAAAATGGGCGCTGAAAAGGTATCCATGAACATCGTTGTCGTCGGACAAGTCCAATCTGCTAAATCCGTCAAAATCATTTCAAAGGCCACCCCAGCCACCAATCAATCGATGGTGAGTACCTACCTATTTATGATTAATTTTGTTTTCAATGGTTATAACACAAATATATACATTTATTTTCATGATTCTATTAGTAATAAATACACATATAGTTCGTTTATTAACTATGTATCCACGTATTAACATCAAAACTTAAATATCGATTTAATAATCATAGATAGAGAATATAATTAAACATGATAAACAAAATAATAGTATATTTTTTCTATTGAAGCATAAACAAAGAAAACATAAATATCAATATAATAATTATAATACTTACTTGTTATAGTTGAGTTACACTATCAAGATAAGATTAAAATTATTCCAATAAAAATATTAATTTTATCACATTTTTGCACTTTTAATTATGTTAATTAAATAAATGTTATCAATTATAAGTCAGTTTTAAAAATTAAAGTTCGTTTCTTTTAGTCTGTAAGCTATATACATAGTCATCTACTACAAAGTAAAAGTTTTTTTTTTATAACGCAAGTCTGCATTCAAACTTGAATCATTATAATATTAATTATAGTTGAATAAGTATTTTAACATAAAAAATACCAGCTGGCATCTTGTGAAAGGTCTTAAATTGAAGAATATATTTTTTTTTTTAAACACTTTTTAATAAAGAAAATGTGTAAACAATTTAGAATAATTAGTTATAAACTTCATCTTTTGAATAATTTAACATACTCTTCTAATTAAACTTATAATCCTTTAATTAATAAATCAAACATTTAATGTACCTAGAACTTGATAAATGTATATGTATATTTTCTTTATTAATTCATTCTTAGCAGGAAAGCCATTGGGAAGTATGACAAGTGACATATAATATTTACATTATGAGATTTTGTTTAAAAATAAAATAATATATAGTTATGCATACGAGTATCCCTAGATTAATTATCTAATCCCTCAAAATAAAATACTAAATTTAAATAAATGAACAAAATACTTAAAAACAAATTTATATGTATACCCATTATATATGGTTTTAACAACTATATTATATATATAAAATCATAAAAATGAGAAAAAATAAATCATTTAATGTTTTAAATTTATAATAATTGTTAAATATTTGAGTATAATCAATAATTTAATTAAATACAATGGAAATTAATTAATTAATTGTATACATTTTTTTGTTTCAGATTTGTTAATTTTATTAATGTAATTCATCAATTACAAACTCAAAAATGCCATAATCCAAACAATACGTGTAATTAATAAATCATAATATGTATTGACATTGCTAAATAAAACAAACTCTCCCGTCAATCATTCATTTTCTATTTTTTTTTTTATTGATATTATTATCAGATTTCCTGATCTTCGTATTATCTGTTTACAGTATCTTAAAGACTTAAAATTATAATTACTATTAAAAACATTCAAAAAAATTTTTAGGTCACAATCAATAAATACAATAATTAATTAATAATTCGTTATTAAATTAGTGGATGTACTATCTTAAAGAGTATTAAAATGAATAAAACAGAGAAATTATATTTACTAGAAAAATCAAATAATAATATATTGAGTGATTCTTTCGTCAAACACACTAATTAATATTTCAAGATTTCAACATCTATTTGTTTTTGAATTTTTTTTCACATAATTTATTAATTTATAGTAAAAATAAAACAACATTTTTATTTTAAAAAATAACAATGTTTTTTTATTGTTATCATTGTTTAAGTTTTTTACGTTTGTGAATAATAACATACATTTCTATTTTAATCTTTTGAATCATAATATTTTTCGGAGTATTTGTATACATTAAAATCAAAATTTGGACAGTTTTTTTTATTAATTATAAGTTTTTAAAATTTATTTAAACGGAGTAGTTGAGTAACATTTTTTTGGGGTATTTTCGTACCTCGCCATTACACACACAATAACTTTAAATATTTATTACTCATTAACTACTCGTCCGAATTAAAATTTTAATTCATCAAAATATTTCTCTACAGAATAATAAATTAAAAATATATTAAGTCATTAAAAAACTAAAAAATTTAAAAAATACGATAAAAAAATGTTGTTTTATTTTAGCTGGAAATTAAAAAAAAAAAAAAAAAAAAATACTTTCGAAATTGTTAATGAAATAATAGGCGTTGTTTGATAAAATAATCGCTCAATGTACTATTTTTAAAATTTAAAATGTTTCTAATTCGAGTAAATATTATTATAAATATTTAATAACGCATGTTTATTATATTTGTTTCTATGTAAACAGATTTTTTTCTTTGCACTCTATTACAATATCATAACGATTTTGTTCCATTTAAATATTAATGCAACTCAATAAAATGGATATCTGTGTTGATTCTTTTCCAATAGTAAATATCTTTAACCTCGACTATTTGTTTCCAAAATGTTTACGGTGCGTGAAAAACGCTTACCACGATTGCAATAGGTTATGCAAGTACATCGAACAGATAATACAATTATCCACCCACTTCAGTCTTGTAAGTCGTGTTTCTGTTAGTTTAATATTCTTAAAAAGTAATTTATATCGTATACAAATATACTATTAGAAATAATTGTCATCGTTAAATTTAGTGCATCATTTATAATCGTATTTTAAAATCAGTAATATAAAATATAAAACATTTGCTGTGAAGCGAATATAATACAACTTTTATACTTTTAAAAGAAATAATTAATGGTATAAATATTTTACTCAACTATTGTTCTTTATGTAAGAAACTATATGCATACAAAAAAAAAAAAAAAAATTATACGTTATTAACTAGTTTCACCGGAAAATTAGGTTTTAAAATCCTGTATAATTTAAATAAATTATACATAATTTGAGCCATATTTCGATGGTTAAATGATTTTTACTGAGTTTTGTTTTAAATGTTAACTTATTCATGATAATTTAAAATTACGTACTTTCTAATGACTTACATTATTATTATGTTATTCATAATACATTACATTATTGGAACCAAACTACAACAGAAGTGCACAAAACTATTCAGTATAATATATTATTTAAGATTGGGTTTCAATAATTATTATTTATAAACATCAATGTTTATCTACTGTATTATAAAAATAAGTTTTTATGGCTTATAAACAAATCCTAATTGCAATAAGTTATTACGGTTGTCAGATATGGATGGTTGTATATAAGGCAATAAAATTGCAAGTTGTTATTGGACCGATAAATTACGTTAATTCCCCTACCTACAGTGTTCACGTGCCTAACCCTAATCAACGAAAAGTCGATGCTACGAGTTTTCAGTCAGTGTGCAGTGATCGATGACAGGCAAAGCTAGAGAATACCAGTAATAATAATAATAATAATATATTGTTATTAATACAGCTACAGACCAATTGTTTTTGTGCGTTAATATTGCATAAGACGGCCAATGTGTTGCGGCATTTATCCACGAGACTATTAATTCATAGAAAGTTTTAATACCTGAATACCAACCGTATACCGTATCTAGAATGAAGATATTGTGTCTGAATACCTACTTCTACTACTGTACGGCTTTTTTTTTTTAGAAATTAAGACCAGTTAGGTACCATATCACATACATACACGCACGCACGCACGTGCGAGCGTGTGTACTTAATATTACATTTTGTTAGTCTTAGTAATAGATTTTTTTAAGAATTTAGCTCTAATTAATTATAATATAGTGCTTGGCATATAATTTTAATTAGTGTGTATATATTATAAATACAGTCGCTTGACCATTTATTTTACGCGAACGACATAATTGAGTATTTGGCTGAACACTTTTTGACCGAACCGAAATACACGCACTGTCTCGAAGGGATGTTGTCGTTGTGCTTGATGCCACCGACTATAAGTTTTGTTACGGAATGTTCGAATAACTTACCGATATTAATCCGGTTCTACAACGTTATGGGTGATACAATATAATATTACTATATAAATGTTTTTTTGTTTTCAAAGTTGATATGAAAATATTGTCAACCTTAATTAAAATTAAAAATACGTTTTCGCATTTGATACACAGTGACGTAAATGTGTATGTATTTTACTGATAGGTGAAAGGAGAGGAGAGATAATTAGGGATGCTTAAAGCGCTCAAATTTCAAATTTCAAATAATTCTTAATATTTATTTTAAATTTAAAAAAAAATGCTTTTTTGATGTTAACTTGCTTTAAAAATATACATATTTGTGAAATAAATTCATAATTTAAACTATTGTTTTTTATAACATTAGAAGTATTTATAAATTATCATAATTGATTATGACAATTTTTTTTAATGATTAGCAAATAAGTTATTTATATTTGTATTAATATTTTCAATTTAATTATCATGCGATGAATTATGTGTATGGACATATGGGAATATCAAATGTTTTAAAATTGGTTAACGTTAAACCTTATGGGCGCCCATTCATATATTTTGAAGTTTTATGTACAATTTTAAATAAATAAATTTCATAAAAAAATAATAAAAAATTATGATTCTGGTGTGTTTTTAACCGAAGCCAAATGCATTTGGCTGGTCCACGCGCATGATGAACTCAATATTCTTTTGTTCGGCGTAATTCAAACGTCTATACTCAGGCGCCAAACCGTACCGGAAAACTCTGTCGGATTACATTGCTGTCACGAAGCCGTAGGAATGAGTGATTTACCGAAAACATTGATGGAACTCATCGGAAATGTCACGAGCCAAACGTTTCTTGACGATTTATTGAAACTTTCATTTAACATTGCGACTCTGTCCGATCAATCTGGTAAATATTGAATACAATATTATCGTCGTCGATCGAAAAACTAATAACTTTTTGAGACAACTAGGTATTTATACCTGTATATAAAATGTATATTATTTATTTATTTTGGATATTTTTAACGCAAATACGATAGATTTGTTATATATAAAAAAAAAAGAAATATTATAATTTATTACAATAGGGGACGTACTATACTCTTACTTGGGGGAAAAAAAATTGTCATTAGATAAAAACAGAATTACACGGGTTTTACAAAAATCACGTTTTAACCGTATAATCTCAATACCGACACAAGGATAATTTATATTTAATTAGATTTATACTTTTTATCAGTATTTTCTTAATTTATAACGTATTATATAAAAATTTCTTTAAATTTTTGGTACAAATATTCAGCTAAAATTTTAATTCTTGACGACTATTCCTTTTTGAATTTCAAAAACAAAAAATTGGCTTACTCGAAAACTGGATCTTTATCAGTCTTTCCTAATTAAGACTTTTCCTCGTTAGTCAAGATTAACAAAGGATAAGTTTTTCCAGTATTATTATTTGAGTATTTAATGCAATATCTGTTTTAATTCTCAGATCCAATAATACATTAAATGCATTCATCTTTCATCTATAATCGTTTTCTTTAATACTTTTGAGTTATCTTAGAGTAACATTTTCTATAATAAAAATTACAGAGTATAATATTTTTGCGAGTTTGATATATCAATTTCATATTTTATTTTAAAAATAAAAATAAAATGTTTTAAATTTAAACAGATATTAATTTTTTTTTTGAGACAATATTTATTATACAAATTGATATTTCATACATTTCAAAATATTGGTATCTATAATTTTAGATATTACCGATATTATTAATAGATAATTACTCAAATAATAAAAAAATAAATATTCTGTGTGAATGCGTTTTGTGTATATTGCGCATAAGTGAGAGTTTGTCTAAAGACACTAAGCTGATATTCTCTTAAGAAAACTGGAAGTATTATAATATCAAAGTTCAAAGGTCTACGGATTTCTGGTTTAATTTCAAATGATATTTAAATAATATTTGTAAAATTATTAATGCTAATTATTGTGAAAATTTTTACTCAAAATTCATCGTTTATTAGAAAAATTAGTTTGGTTAAATATAATTAAATTAGATGTTTTTTTTTCCTTTAGTGCTGCAAATGATGAAATTCGACGCTGTGCGGATACTGGTCGATACGTTAAAACCAAATTTTCTCTACATGCCATTGGTATCATTCGAACGTTTTACTGTATGCGAATTCGTGATTATGCTATTGAATAGAATGTTTTTTGTATGGAGCTTGCAGTCAAGTTCAAGTAGTACTCATATTCAACCGTTACAAGTTACTCGCAATACATTGGAGTAAGTTAACTCTATACTTTGTTTAACTTCTTGGCAGCCACAAGGATATTGTTTATAGCTTATAAACCGTTTTTATTTTCATACAGAATCATACTTTGCAATATAAAAATCGAAACTGAGAGAAACGATGAGAATAGTATGAAATTAAGAAATGATTTTTGCTACATACTTGGAGAGATAGTAGATAATTGTTCTATCAACGAAAATGAATATTCCGCCGAAATTGTTACAGGTAATTGTTCATAAGTACTATTAACATAACTATTAAGTTATAATAATTGAACAGCGCGTGCTTGGTTTTAAACTTTTAAAGACATAGTCATGTTATGCGTTTGGCCAGAAATCATACACATTTCACATTGGTTAGAAGATGTCGAATTTTATCCTATCAATGAAAATCTTATATTCAAAAGTTTAATGTTAGATATTATAAGCAAAGTTTTTATAAATCTATCTTCAAAAATCAAGGTGAAATATTATTATTATTTAGGCATATTGTTATTATTTATTAACATTTAACAGTATAATATTGGTATGGTTATGTATTTTATTTTGTGATTTTTGAACCCATATTGTAGTTTCAACAACTGAACACGTTTTTGATAAAAGAATTTATGACACTCTCAAATTTTGAATATTCGAAAAGTATATATAGTGATAATTTACATACTATTTTAAGTCAATCACTGTTAAATTTACCGTATTTATTGCTGAACTCCGTCGATAGTTTGATAAAAACTGAATGCTGCACAGAGTAAGTATTTTATTTTTTATTTTTATATTGTAACATTATAAACATTATAATATCATATATGTAATATTACTTTGTACTTCTATTAATACAGTATAAAATTCACAATTTTGAGAATAACTAACATTTCTGACATCTTTAAAGTTATCATGGAAAAAATAATTATATTCCACCTTTTTTATTTTTAAAATTTTTTGAGTTTATATAATATTTTGAATTATGTTGTTTTATATATTTTATTTTGTATAGGTACCAAAATCAGAATATTTTCCTTAGAAACTTAAAAATTAATATAAATATAAAATAATAATAATAAAGTTAAATTTCAAAAATGTTTTTTAATATTTTTTGAGATATTTATGAGACACATTGTTATAAGAATAACATTTAGTCACGACAAGACAATAATGAAAATATTATTTTTATTACATACAGATTACTGGCTTTAATTAAGTCATTAAAGTATCAACAAAATTTCTCTTGCACGATGGTCAATGTTATAATTTGTATAGGAATCATTTCAAATGACGATTACGACATACTTCGGAAGTTTAAAGCTCTCAAAACAGACTTATTGATCATTTGTAATCGCAGTGGTTTCGTGCACATTTAAATATGAATATATTAAATTACACTTGTTGTCTTATTCTTGCAGCTGTTATAATGGATACGTTGACAACTCAAAATTGTAATTTTCAAGACATTAGCCTGTATGGGTTAAATACATTAAATGTATTTTTTCGAGAAAATCAGCAAAATCCTGAAGCTCAACCGGTGGTTTTTAACATGATATCGATGATGCTCAAACTATACTTTGTCGAGGATGCCGACAAAAACATTAATCAAAAGTATGATTATGATTATCTATATTATTTATTTAGCACTTGATGTTTGTTTGTCACATGTGTGTAATATTTTAATTTATAAACCAACTGAGTCACGCATGATATGAACTCGTGTTTACAGTATTTTGTTAGATCTGTTGCATTTCATTAAAAACACTATAATTCGATACAATGACCAAGTTGAACTGTTTATAAAAGCTAAAGGAATAGAACACATATTGAACGCTATGACTGTGAGTACCTACTCAATCTGTGTCGCTATAATTCGTTATTTATAGCATATAATATATTAAATTTATAAATCGAAATCATAAAGTCGTGTTTAAACTGGGGGATAGACAACTGTTGATCTTTCTACAAATTATCAGACAAATTTTTGTTTTATTATTATTTATCTAATAAAGTGGATTTATTTTTATTTTTGATGTTGAAAATAAATAGATATACCTACATCTACATTTTTTTAAATGTATATTTATGTCACAAGCAGAAAAAAATATAATTTTTATTTTTTATTTATAAAGGTGACAAAATCACAGTATACTCAAATGTTCAACATGCACGAAACATGTTTTTTTTTTTAATTAACCTAACAGCGTTCGCTTAATTTTCAGATTTTAAAATATCCCATACAGCTCGTGATGCTGTCAACCCTCGTAGATTTAGCCGTATTCAAATCAGCAAAATGTCATATTAAGAAATGGAAATCCATCAAGACGGGAAAGGGTTACTTGGAATTGGTGTGCGAAATTTGGAGACGTGAAACAGTCCGATTTAATTTTATAGGTCAAGGCTAATAATAGTACATAATATGACCAATTAGATTGTATAATCATTTCCACTTCTACATTCACAAACATTATTTTAGAAAACGGTATTTAATGTCCATAAAAATATTATGTGACAAAAACATTAATTATTTAAGATTGATATAGGTACTCCTCTTAAGTATTTTTTGAGCGAAAACGTTATTTGAATTGATTTATTAATAAATAGGTCAAATTTTATTTTTAATTTCATAAAAACAATAATATTGTCAATGTAGTAATATCACTCATCGCTTTCGACTTCCTTTGCTGATGGTTTTTTTATTATTTTGGATGATGACACTGAAAAACTATTATTACCGTTATAGCGTAAGTTAAGCTAGGTTCACAACTGTCATGATATCGTCTATCGTGTCATATACCTTTTATTGTATTCTGATTAACTGTTGTAACTGTAATATTATTTACTCACCACGATATATTGGAAAATTCACAGAGATTGTGGTCCATTTCAACTTTTGGACACGACACGATACATGGCAAACGATATATGACTAGGAACCTAGCTTAAGAGAATCACTGACATTAAAACGTTATTGCATCTGATATTCTCGTTTCCCAAAAATATTTATTATTATTATTGATTATTATCTACTCTCACACTTTAAACAGATAAAATTCATGCAATAAATATTGAAATTCGGTAGATTAATAACGTTATAATGGCCGTTGTTTGCAGACGATGAATTCGTGTTCCAAGAGCAACGGGACGCAACCACCGCGATAAACTTGATCAGTCTCTGCAGTCCGACGGTAGAGTCCATGTTTCTGTGCGCCCAGCCAAAGATTTATCTTCTCGTGCAGCTGGTCGAGTTCTCTGGGTTAGAAAATGCTCGGCTGCAGGATAGATCCCGGGACGAACTTGATAACGACATCGAGGAAAGAACGATTCGGGCTTGCGGTCTGGTGTCCGGTTTCCAGGACAAGGCCATTGTAGCACACATTTATCACTATTATTCGCTGAAAGTCGGGGAGGTTTGGAATGAAAACCATATTGTCGCGATGACCGGTGACGTCGACGGCGTAGAGTTGTCATCTGCCATATTGCAGTCTACCGATGCTATGGCGGTCCGGCATGCATACTTAATTGCGTTGATCACGATGATCAAAAGTCGTGTCACTGAACTACATGTAGGCAAGTCGGTAAGTCACAGTTATAATATTGTTGTATGCTAAATTGTTTGTTCGTGACACGATAAACGAATTAAAAGTTAGGTCAAGTTATAAGTAGCTTAACTTAAACTTATTTTCTTTGCATTTATTTTTTATTAACTTAACTTTTAATAAAATTGTTATTTTTTTCATTGATATACTTCATTAATAACGAGTTACTTCCAATAAAATCTGGGTCACATTTGTTTATAAGTAATTGAACAATAATAAATATGATACGATTATTATTGTCTTTTGTTGATGAACGATAGGAAATAAAATGTGTAATTCTTAAATTTACTTCTTGTGTGCATTAGCTAAAATTGTTTAGTAAAAATAATAGATTTTTAATAGTTTTAAATTATCTGTTGGTCATTTAATATTAAAAATAAAAAAAAAACACTTACACTTACACACACACACACATACACATATTAATTTAACCCAAATCAGTAAGTCAATTGTCTAATTATATTATATAATTGAATTAAAAAATTCACTTAAAAAATTTCTAATTTTTTTCTATCAACTAAGTTTAACTGGGTTATAAATATCATTAAATTTCCCGATGTTTGTGTTTGCGTGTTTATTTTATTTACTTATTTTTTTTAAATATTATTTTTATTGCAATATTATACTTTTTACGTCCGACTTACTTCGATAAATTGCCACAATAAGGGATAATAGCGTTAGACACTATACAGTTAAACAAACGGAATGCCAAATTTATACACAGTAAGGAAAAAAACATGCTATTTGAGTCATTTATTTCACTTATATAAATATTTAACGTTATAATATAAGACTTCACTGCACATATTGTAACCTTGTAATTTAAAATTTATTATAATAATTATTTAAATTTAACATACAATTTTCGCAGTTATTGAAAATTATCTAAATATTAGTAATAAGAATACGTAATCATAATTATTGAATATTTTCATAATAAAGTTTTAATAGTAATACTGCTTGTTTAAATAGTAGAATTAACAGAGTTTTTTTTTTTAAAAAATTAAATCTTAAAAATAATATTAGTTGATGGT